CTTCTAAAAGTTCCGATTTTGTGCTCCACGGCTCTATCACTTGCCAGAAGCGGCCGAGGGAGGCCCCCTCCCCCGCCGTCTATCCTCCCGAATATCGCCTCGGATTCACTTCTCCGCACGTCCTACCTTCCAGTAAGTGGTCGCTTCTCTGTTGTGATGGATATGTTTATTGCCTTCATGGTAGTGATGGTTTCATAGGTGTATACTTTTCCCCGAATTCATTGATTTGTATACATTAAATACGTACACTGAAAAATTTTCAGCTTTATTGAGGTATAATTGACAAATAAAATTGTAGGATATTTAAAGCGTACAACACAATGATTTTGTATATGTATACATTATGAAAGGATCCCCCCCATCAAATTAATTAACATATCCATCACCTACATATTTACATTTTACCTTTTTTTTCTTTTCCTTAAGTTCTAATCCCTTAATATAGTTTTTAAATTTTATTATGTTGTGTTAATCACCTTACATTATATCGCTAGTTTTTGATGTAGTGTTCCATGATTCATTGTTTGTGTATGAATTGTGCTCCATTCAGTACGTGCCTTCTTTATTTTTTTTCTTTAAATTTTTTTATTGTTATGTTAATCACCATACATTATATCATTGCAACAATGCACATACATTATTTGTGCATAACACCCAGTGCTCCACGCAGAACGTGCCCTCTTTAATACCCATCACCAGGCTAACCCATCCTCCCACCTCCCTCCCCTCTAGAACCCTCAGTTTGTTTCTCAGAGTCCATAGTCTCTCATGATTCATCTCCCCCTCTGATTTCAATAATACAATACAGTGCTATCAACTATAGCCACCAAGCTATACATCAAATATTCAGATCTTACTCATCTCATAACTGAAAGTTTGTACCCATTTACCAACCTCTATTTCCCTAATTACCCATCCCTGACAGCCATTTTCTACTCTGTTTCTATAAGTTCCACCATTTTTTTTTCAGATTCCACATACTTGTGATACCATACATTATATTTCTTTGTCTGGCTAAGTTATCTTAGCATTATATCTTCCAGTTTTACCCATGTTGCCACAAAGGGCAGGATTTCTCCTTTTTTAAGGCTGAATCATATTTTGTATTTTATTGTATACATATACCACATTTTCTTTATCCATTCATCTGTCAAAAGACGCTTAGGTTGTTTCCAAATCTATGCTTTTGTGAATAATGCTGCAATGAAGATGGGGAGGCTTTTGGAGCAAGGCCACACCACCTTTTGGAGCAACTATTTTATTTTCAGCAAAAACTAGCTTTTTACTGGCTTCTGGCAATAACAGCCAACCATGAACCAGAGCTACTCATTCTGGACTGGGCATTATCTTATTTATATAGCCATGAAGTTAGGCATTTCCAGCAGCAATCTACTATCCATTTGAAGTCATATATACAGAATGGAACCCCTGCCCTCATTAAGGTCTCAAAGGTAAAAGTCAGATCAATGGATGGTTTCTTAATGCCTGAAAATGTGATTCCTCCTACTTGACTCCCACCTCTTTTTTAAATTTATGCCTTTTGCTTGAAGCGGGAAATTTCTTATGACCAATTGACACAAAAGGAAGACTCAAAGCTGGATTACCAATGACCCCAAGACCACATTACCAATGGCCCCAGTATCAGTGAAAAGTGAGCTGTGTGGCATTATAGTTTTTCTCAGGCATGGTCAAAAAAGACAACTGGGGAGGAAATTTCTCATTGGTCATTGTGCTTGGTAGAAGGTTGCCTTGAAGTCAAGATTTACACTGACTCCTTAGAAGTAGCAAATAATTTGTATAAATAACCAAGGGAAGAAATGAAACAAGATAATGACCTCATGAGATGAAGAGTAGAAGAGTATATTGGAGAGCCATGATATTCAGTATCTCCTTGACATGTGGAATTCTTAATGCTATCAAATAAATATATATGCTCACTAATTGCTTGCAAAGTTGAATTTATTTTTCAGATTCAGTCAGCGTGAGAACAAAATGCCTCATAATTAGAACTCACTTTTTGAGTGAGATACAAATTGGAGAATGACACAAAGAACATTTAGAGAAATCATTTGAGTCACCCAGAATTGATCCAGGTCTGAACATAAATAAGTGTGTGCTTACCAGAGGTTCCCCACCAGGAATTTTCATGGGAGAATCAGGTAATTAACAGTATGTATTAACTGTAGTTGTTACATTTGTGCTTGTCAGTAAATCTTTCCAATCCTACCTAGCAGTTGCTAAATGAGGTTCAGGAATAAGGTAGCAATTAGGGCAGGATGGAGGTCATATGTGGGCTCAAAAGCCTAAATTTGCTTTCCTGAAGCCAGTATGAATACCACAATGCTGAAAATAAAGTGATCTGCCTTTTGGCATCACCATTTCTTTTGGGGAGAGAACAATATTTGTTTGTTTTTTCTGATATAAACTGCTACTGATTTTGCTTTTCCTTTTATGTTCAATATGCCTCAGAAAGTACTGCTATCCATAGGCTTATTGAATATTTTATTCACTACCATGAAATGCTGCACAGCACTTCTTCCAAGGAATTTGTTTCAAAAAAAACACAAAAAACAAAGGCAATAGGTACATGTTACATGAATTATTTTATAATTCATTATTATTCATGGATAGTAAATCTTGAAGGATTGGCCTATTGAGAATTCCACTCTGACACCAGCTGAGGGGTATTACCCCCCTAATTTTCTAGCAAGTTTCATGTGCTGACTGCAGGAGGTGATACTAGCTAAACCATGAGTCAATGTTTACATTCTCTTCCATTTGCTGAAACTCCCTTTTGTGACTCTAGAGGAGCATCCTAAGCAGAAAAGGCTATCACATTGTCTGAGATGATCAATTCTATCAAGGGAAAATAGAGGTACTATCACACAGTAAGGGCTGAGATGTAAGTGTGTTGTTGACTCTATGTTTTATCATTCCCTGAGGTAAAAGGCATTGAAAAACTCCTACAACTTCATCCAGTTGGATTTTCAAGGGCTCAAATCCTCATAGTTTTTCCAACTGACAAACTCTGGTACAGCCTGAGAGGAAAAAAGCTGGAATGAGTGACAGACATGGAGGAAAATCAAGAGCCTTGGGACCAACTATAAAATGATACCTGTAATATACACCTGTGTTTAGATATCATTCATCTTTTGTTGGTAGTTACCAATATACTAACACACCAATTTTCTTTCCCTACCACTGGGCATAGTATTTAATGAATGTTAAATTTACCACTAGTCTAAGTTACATAGAAAGGTGAGTAGTACATAAAAGGGTTATGATAAATTAGTTTGGGCAAGTGTTAATAATTGTACATTTTTATTTATGTAAATAATTTTGTACAAAGCACATTTAGAAATATATGTATAGGAAGAAGGATATGTATGTGGGCAGCAAAGTAGTAGAATATACTGAAGATGACAGTCATGACATTATTGAACCTCAACCTCTCCTTTTATCTAACTACCTCAATGTATACAAAATACAAGGTGAGAAGTGGGCTGGGGGAGTGACCTTTAGTTCACTTTTAGTCTTATCGAGTTTGTGGTAGCTATAGAACATCCAGTTATAGGTGTAAATTCAGAGTTGTATCAATGTGTCTGTAACTCAGAGAAGAGCTTGGGGTTAGAGACACAGACTGGAAATCCTCAGTGTATAAACACATCTACCTGTGTCAGTGAAATCATCCAAGGAGCCTAAGTAATATGAGAAGATGAACAGGATGCAACTTTGGAGAACTGAGATGTCAAGGACTGACAACAGCGAAGGTGTCCACAAATGTAGGAACACTATTAAAAATGATGCCACAGAAACAGCAAGAAAAGTGTTTCAAGAAAGAAAGAGTGAAAATGGCGTCAGTCCCTACTTCAAGAATCATAAGGCCACTGGTGTTCTAAGAAGAGAAGTTGTCATAGAATGAAAGGGGTGATGTAACTGGCATAGAAAAGTGAGGAAAGAGAACAAAAACAGTTTCAATAAGTTTAGCTGTGAAGGGAAAGGACAAAACAGGATAATGTCCTCATGAGATAAAGAGTAGAAGAATATATTGGACAGCCATGATGTGACTAAGTTTCTCCTTGAGGTGTAGCATTCTTATGGCTATCAATAAAAACATATGCTCAATAATTACTTGCAAAGTTGTATTTATTTTTCAGATCCAGTCAACAAGAGAAAAAAATGCCTCATAATGAGAACTCACTTTTTGAGTGAGATACAAATGTTTAGTTATTCTATTTAGTGATCATTTTTGTTCATTTATAAAATAAATAGCTGGCCTGTTCTACCCAGAAAGGTTATAATAGTGTTAACTAACTGGTGGGGTTACAGATTGTTGGCATATGTCTGAGCAAGAACATGTTGTGACGTGCCTATACTTGTAGGGTATTGTACTGCCATCAGGACAGTTAAGAACAACTTCTCGGAACTCGTAGTTATCTTCTCGGCAGCAAAGGCATGAATTTGTCAACTTAAAGAGTGTATAATTGTACCTAAGGAAAAGAAAATTCAGCAATAAATATTTTTGGGATATCTTCTGAAGCAAATTGACATCAATGCTCAAATTACAATTGTTGAAGTGATTTAGCAATCCTTCCAACCAATTTATTCTTTTCCTACACCTTGCATTGCCCCCTCACCATGAACTTCTGATGTGGATCAGTGATATTAGTATGTAAGACCAAAATAAATAAATCCAAAATGGAAATGTAAAAGCTCATAATTAGAGCATTATGGTACAGAAATATAAACAGATTTTTAAATTTCATGCCAAATTATTATTCTCCATATATTAATCTGTACATGAAAGTGTCCATGAAGGAAAAAAATATATATATTATGTCTAACATGCAAGTGATGGTTTAGGAACCCACTTTTAAGCAAGAGTGCTTGCTTAAGGACAATCACTGTGTGAAATTAAATACATTTGCCATGAACATATTATGTTTGATTTATTTAGAAAACTACTTTAAAATGATTCATCACTATTGAAAATGTTTGTCAGATCTTAATATTTTAGATATCTGTTTTATCAGGTTTTGATCATTAGCTGTCATGTAAAAAATGTTCCATGTGATGTTTTAAAAGCTTAATTTCCTCCACAATGTTACAAAGTTAATGCACAGTACACATTCAAAGAAAAACTCACTGGACAGTCTTCTTGCATTCCCCTAGACATCTTGTCATCTTGATTCTTTTCTGGCAACCATTGTACTTAATAGTCACATTCACGGGTGAAGATCTACAATTAGTCTTACCTAAAACAAAATGGATAACAGAGTCACAAATGAGGTTTAACATTAACAATTGCTAAGTCTCAGTTTTCTTAACCTTAAGTAGAGAATAATAACAAAAAAATACTTCACAGCATTGTTGAAGGGATTAACTGCCTCAGCACCCAGCACGAGGCACCCAGTTAATATTCAATAATTGTCTTTAATAAATGTTATCTTTTTATTATTGCTATCATTCCTATCATAGGAGGAGGAGGAGGGAGGGAAAAAGGGAGAGAGGAGGAGGGAAGAAGGGGGAGGGAAGGGAAGATGAAGGGAATGGATTGTTTTTGACATCCATTTCTCCTTTTTGATCATCCTTATGATCTAATATATCAATTTACAACACAATCTGCCGACACTAGGAAAGCAAACTACATTTTTTTCATGAAAATTAAATTTCTCTCTTATAAACATCATTGGTTTTTACTGGTAAGACTGTTTCAACCAACATGAAAAAGTAACTACATTATGTATGAGTATCAATTATTAGTTTATACATATGGGCTAGATAACCTGTTATGTTAAAAACACAGGAGGCTTTCTATTAATGATCTGCCATTTTGTTTTAAACAAACACTAAATTTTTGTCAACAGTTGACATTTCCTCTACATGTGGAGCTTAATGCTACTTACATGTATAGCAACATTTTTTTGAATCATAGACTCTGTCTTCCTATAGGGGCAAGAGAAATAGAAAAAAGACTTTAAAAGTCTGTATTTTTGTACAAATAATATAACATTTCTTAACTTACTGGAATAACATTACAAAGGGGAAAATGGAACAGATAAACATGCTGATCTCAGATCCAGGAAGCATGGATGAAAGAGCATAGTAATAAAAATGAGTCTGAATATTTGCACTAAAATTTTTTAATAGTGGGTAGAAAGGGAAAAAATATTTAAACTAAATTCATCTTTAAAATAACATGCAAAAAGGTAAAAAAGTTACCCCTCCCTTATTTTAATTGAACAATACTTTAATAATAATATTACGACTAGGGCACCTGGGTGGCTCAGTCGTTAAGCGTCTGCCTTCGGCTCAGGTCATGATCCCAGGGTCCTGGGATCGAGTCCCACATCAGGCTCCCTGCTCAGCGGGGAGCCTGCTTCTCCCTCTCCCACTCCCCCTGCTTGTGTTCCTGCTCTTGCTATGTCTCTCTCTGTCAAATAAATAAATAAAATCTTTAAAAAAAAATAATAATAATATTACGACTAGACACTGTAAGTTTCTCATAGGAAGGATTTTTATCTTACACATTATTATAATCTCATACCTATCAATGTCTCAAAGTAAAAACTCAATAAATGCTTAAATCCAAAATTAGAGTTCTGAAATCAAACTTTAAGCCATTTTATCAATTATATCTTCAGAAAGAAAAATTAGCTAACTTTGAACCATAAATTGTGAGCATTTATTATTATATTAACTAGTTAATTTAATTAAAACAGCATTTATCAATGCAAAAGCCTCACCATAACGGGGTGATTCATAACACATATGAAGACTGTGTTACAAGGAAATTCTGAACAGTAAACTTATATGTGATTTTATGGAAAGTTTGCATTTTTATTAAAAATGATTAACCGGGGGTGCCTGGGTGGCTCAGTTGGTTAAGCATCTGCCTTCGGCTCAGGTCATGATTCCTGAGTCCTGGGATCGAGTCCCACATCAGGCTCCCTGCTCGGGGGGAAGCCTGCTTCCCCCTCTCCCTCTGCCTGCTGCTCCCCCTGTTTGTGCTCTCTCTAATAAATAAAATCTTAAAAAAAAAAAAAAGATTGACTGGAATCCATGAGCCTTGGAAAAAAACAAGATTTTTTTTTTTGGTTTGTTTAAAAATGGTAAAATGCTTTCTAAAGTAACTTACTTCTTCTAGAATAGCACTAAATTAAGTTTTATAGAGCCTGCAAATATAACTTTGATATGAAAAATATACTTGGCAATAAAAGGTGCGAAACATATCTGGAATGGAATCCACAAGGAATTTATGTCTGTTGGCCAGACACATACTTTTCCAAATGAGAAAGAAGACAGCTTGTGTTTACAAGAAGTGGATGTTGTTGATCACTACTTAAGAAGATGACTTACTTCTGGACACCAGGTCTGCTTTGGGCAGTCTTGGACCACTGCAACGAAACCAGTGTCGTAGCAGGAATAGGAGATGCATGGGTTGTTGGGATCATCAAATGAAGCACCAATCTGGGAAGCAGGGAGGAAGAGAGAACAAAGTAATTATTCACCTTGATTTCTTTTTGAGGTTGAAAATAAAATTTGTAAAAAAAAAAATTCAAATTCATAATGTTTAATGAATTTCCAAAGATGCTTTCAGTCATTAATTAATATTTAAGAAAAAGTGGATTAAAAGACTTCTACTTCCATGAATAAGCCAGCGTGCCTCCTTGAGAGCACAGAATGTGTCAAGATTCTCAATCCTTAAATGAAGATCCACATACTCACTCTATTCACCTACTCAGTTACTCTATTTTTCAAGTATTTCGAGAAAGGTTATTTTATGGTGAGCAGTCAATCAACCAATTGTTATACTCTAAGTTTGAGGGGGAAATCTAAGTAGAAAAAAATGGTACAAAATAATTTTATCAGATTACCACAAATGGCAGTCCCACAAGAAATCCTACTTCTGCTTCTGGTTGTGTTCCTACTTCTGCTTGCGTTCCTATACTTTTAAAGTTCTCTGGATTGCTTTAAAAATAATTTATGTTCAAAATTCAAACACCAGTGTGGGAAACCGTATTTCAAACTGCAAAATCAACTTTCTGGTAAACTGGATTTTGTTACTTTAACTATTTTGCATATAAATGGTTAGAGGTAAAACTTTCCTTTTGTTCTTTAAACATCATCGTATTTTGTGTTTAAAAACTAGCATAGATTCTCAAGTCACTATCACCTTTGGAAACTAAAAATTAAGAAACCCAGACAGGAATTTGAGTGTGATAAATAAGTTATTGAGCTAAAACTCTCATTGGCTTTGTTTTATATATTTCTTAGCATACTGCATAGATTTTATTTTAGACTTTTTTAATATCTAGTATCTCCAGTTCAAATGTATTATCAATTTGAGAACCATCTGGGTTTTATGACTTCTTGGTACTTTCTAAAAAGCTAAATTACTTTCCAAAATGCCAAATCAGTTGTCAAAATCCAGCCCTGAATATATGTGTTGCTATATTCACATAATGCAGTTCTAGTCTTTGGGGGTTTTTCATTAGATCTCTGACAGTTTGGCCATCTGATCTTTATGGTTATAATTACAGTTCAACTCTGTTCATTGATTTGAATGTCACAGAGTTTGCCTTCTCCATCTGGTCAGACCCCTGGGAAATTTTATTCAGAAGTTAGGTAGTTAATGATTAAGTATATTTTCCCCCTTTGAACTGAGCCATGCTGAGTATTACATTTGATGCTCCTCTTGAAATGAATATAGGGGGAAAAATTAACAGATTCTGCTCCACCATTACCTATGAATTTTCTATATTATAAGGTGAAAGAGCCTGCCATTTATTCATAATTATGCAAATAAAAATATTTTAAAGTAAAAATGGTCTTACCTCATAATCAATACTGTTAAACAAACATGTTCTTGGTTCTGAAAAATAAATACATTATTTTATCCTAAAATAAACATAATTCTGTTTTTATTTATAAACCAGAAACTGTATATGGGATCATATTTATCCACCAATTAAAATGCTTCTTCCCACAACACCATCATCTCCTTCTAATCTACTGATTATATTCATAATTGTTAATTCTCGGTTTCCTCCACTCCAAAGATAGTGAGCTTTAAGAGAGCAAGTATGATTCTGTTTTATTGATCACACCCATCTAGCATAGAGTTGACACATATTAGAAGCTTGATAAATATCTCTTGAATACATGAACAAGTAAACAACTATTCATTCAAATGTATTGTGAATACACACCACAATATCCGATTTCACAGCAGGTGTCATTATCTTGGAACTTTAGAAGTCTCTCTCCAGTTTTGCATGTGGGTGCAGAAGGGCACTCCTTGAGGTTACAGTCCACAGTATTTGCATCAGTACAGGTGCATGTGTAACAATTGGCAGTCCATTCCTCTCCAGGCTACAGACACAAACCAAGTTTAGACTTCTATTCAAATACAGGAATGACAGCAAATGTGTATTAAAGTAGAGAAAAACTGTACTTACAGATTTCTCTTCTCCCAGTGGACCATGACAAACTGTTAACATGAGATGATAAATGCTAATTAAATTTGGCAAAATAGAATCATCTGTTATATGTAGATAACCACCAGGTTGCCAATACTGTAACTGGGACTAGGGTTTCAGAAACAGAATTATGGAGAACTGTATGGTGCCTTAAGGTGGATAAATCACATCCACTTATTTGAGTAAACGGTCTCTAATGAGTATAGATATATTTCCTATTTTACAATCCCAGCATAGGATAATTATTAATTTCTGCTGGCAATGGTCAATAAATCTTATGACTACTGTTTTACTTACTATTTTGCAGTCTAACTTCTACCACCATAATCCTACAAGTCACTAAGACTTTGTAATTATCAGTCCTTAAGGCCCTTTATCAGTTTTTCAAGTTTCCTACAATTGCTGACATATTTAACTCTCATGCTCTTGGAAATGTTCTCCTTCCTTCAAATTCAACACTGAAATTCCTTTCTTTATTAGCAGCTCTTTCTCTTCCCTTTCATGTCTCTCTGCCCTTTCCCTGGTACTTTCTACCATCTCTAGTGTCCACTGTAATGTCCAAGTAGATGACTCTCAAACTTGTAGCTCCCATCCGGACACCTCTTGTAAAGTATGGACCCAGGATTCCCTCAGCCAAATAGTATCACGGCAGATCTATCAGACACTCAAATTCAATATGCACGAAACAAATTATATCATCTTGCCCCTGAAACCAGTTTCTCATCTGAACTGGCTTCTTCCTGTTGAGAACCAAACTATTCTTTCAATTATTTGAGCTTAAACTCAGGAGTCATTTTGATTCCTTCCATTCCATCACTTGGCATCCAATCAACCACAAAATCCTGTATCTTCATCTTCACTTCAACCCCTTCCTTTTCTGGTTATTCTACAATACTACTCCAGGACTTTGTTATCTTTAAGCTAGCATACTTTGGCTTTTCCAGAAAACTCTGACTCACACCTCTCCCTGATTCAATCAATTCCTTATACCACAGGTAGAATAATTCTTCTAAAGCCTAATTTTTATCTCATCATTGCCTTGGTTGAAAACTTGTTTTTAAAAGTATTTATTTATTTATTTGAGAGAGAGAGAGAGCACAGGTGAGAGGCAGAGGGAGAGAATCTTCAAGCAGATTCCCTGCTGAGCATGGAGCCCGACTTGGGACTTGATCTCACAACCTATGAGATCATGGCCTGAGCCAAAACCAAGAGTTAGATGCTTAACCAATTGAGTCCCCCAGGTACCCCTGGCTAAAAACTTCTGATGGCTCCTTATAGACTTGTAAAATAAATACCTTCTTTTAGCATTCTAGCTTCTGAGGTCTGCCACAGTGTGGCTCCAATCTCCCTTCTCAACTTAATCTCACTTCTCTCATTCTCATACCCTGGACTAGTCTACATACTGTTCTCAGATTGCAGTTCTGTAGTGAAATACCTAAGGACTCCTCCAAAGTACACAAAACACTTAACACATATGTGATACATAAAATGTGCTCTCTATCTAATACATATTTCACACTTTTTGTTTTTTTATTATTTTTTAAAAGATTTTATTATTTATTTATTTGACAGAGAGAGAGACAGCAAGAGGGAACACAAGCAGGGGGAGTGGAGAGGAAGATGCAGGCTTCCCGCTGAGTAGGGAGCCCAATGCAGGGCTCAATCCCAGGATCCTGGGATCATGACCTGAGCTGAAGGCAGATGCTTAATGCCTCAGCCACACAGGTGCCCCATATTTCACACCTTTTAAGGTGAAATTTATTTTTAGCCTTATATGAAAATTGTATATGTTTCCTTTAAAATATTCCTTTCCAACTATATACTAAGGTCAGAGAATGATTTTGGGGGGTAACTTCTGTTACTTCCTACAAAACACATCATATTGGATTGAGAATAGTGGGAACTCCAAATCCTTTAAAATTATTGAACTTTGGTTAACTTTAATTTCTCATGCTACAATTCAATCCTCAAAAAATCTGTAATTATCTAGTTTAAAAAATATTATCAAGGACAGAGGTTGCCAAGCGCCAGTCTGTGGAGGGAAGTGACTGGCTGTGTCCACTGTCGGCAGCTCCCTGCAGGAGCTATATATTGAAGACAACGTCTGGAAGCTTCTACTTTGTAATTGTGGGCCACCATGATAATCCAGTTTTTGAAATGGAATTTTTGCCAGCTGGGAAAGCAGAATCCAAAGATGATCATTGTCATCTGAACCAGTTCATAGCTCATGCTGCTCTTGACCTTGTAGATGAGAACTTGTGGCTGTCCAAAACATGTACTTGAAAACTGTGGACAAGTTCAATGAGTGGTTTGTTTCAGCGTTTATTACTGCAGGTCATATGAGATTTATTATGCTTCATGACATAAGGCAAGAAGATGGAATAAAGAACTTCTTTACTGATGTCTATGGTTTATACATAAAGTTTGCAATGAATCCATTTTATGAACCCAATTCTCCTATTCGATCAAGCGCATTTGACAGAAAAGTTCAGTTTGTTGGGAAGAAACACCTTTTAAGTTGAATGTGGAAAAATTTGGAAATAAACAATGTCACTACAATGGGGTATTCTCAGGAACGTGTATGTTGTAAGTAACTTGACTAAATAGCCTGGAAAAGTTTTACTTGTAGTCTAAATTTATCTAAAGCTAATGAAATTCCTTATTATTTCAAAACAGTACATTGAGTTTCTTATGATTATCAACAGATCAATATTTGCTTGTGAACAGTGTTATTTACAAATTCTCTATAACCTTGGAAATATCTTTCTTCTAAAAATTAAGAATGAGCTTTTGACTTTACTCATTCAGATAGCTTGATCTTGATGTCACAATTCAGAACCAAATGTCATTGTCAAGATTTTGGTAGACAGATTGAAAACTGGAAGTTTCTGTAGTATGGACTGAAGTTGATAGCATGTACATGGGCTTCTGCACATCTAGAGATATTGTTATAAAACTATATAGGCAGTATACATAGCACTCCCCAAGAAGCCGGAGCAAACAGCATTTGCAGTGCCAAATGCCACAGGCCTGCCTCTGTCAAAGTGATGCTGCTATAAATCCAGAATCCTGGATCCATGTTTGTAAAATGCGAGGCTGGGACCAAAGTGACAGGTTATGTTCTTATATTGCCTTTCCCTCCGACAGTAAACTAAAGTAAGTGAACCTGCTGGTAGTTATACCAGTAAAAAGTTGTAATTCTGGAATTGTAAACAAAGAAAAGTTAGCATTAGCATTTGCATTCTTAGCTTTTTTAGGCTGTACGCCAAGGGGGTGGGGAGTGGTCTGTAACAAGTGGGATCTTACTGTAAACTAGTAAATGTCCGTTTAAAAACAAGTACTATAACCAGATATTTTCTGTGCTAATTGTGAGCATTTAATTTTGTTCTGTCCTGAATAACTTGAGCAAGTAGTTCTAAGTTTGGTCTTATACCCTTGTGTGAAGTTGCTACCATAATTTTTTAATCCCATCTATTTATTGGATTTCTTAAATAAAGATGTTTGTCCAAAAAAATTATCAAATGACAATTTTTTGATGAAGATATATTATTACATAAAACCCTTTATTTTTTTCTATATATTCATATATACAGATATATTCATGTGTATTCAGCATATATAGTTCATATATATTGAACTATAACTTCTATTCCACCCTCCACACCCACAAAGCCATTCTTTTTTTTCACAGTATACAATTTTATTTTATTTTTTAATTTTATTTTATTCTGTTATGTTAGTCACCATACATCATTAATTTTTGATGTGGTGATCCACAATTCATTGTTTTCATATAACACCCAGTGCTCCATGCAGTACGTGCCCTCCTTAATACGCATCACTGGGCTAACCCATCCCCCCTCCCCCCTCCCCTCTAAAACCCTGTTTGTTTCTCAGAGTCCATAGTCTCTCATGGTTCATCTCTCCCTC